GCGGCGGGGGGCGCGGGCTGGCCAGCGCAGGGCCCGGGCAACAGGGTCTTTATACCATGATCTACTACAGTCTCAGCCGGTCTGGACCAGAGGCACATTCGTGCCTGGTGCGCTCAGGGAGGTTCTGGAACGTGAGCCCAAGACCTTTCCCAGTGGCTGGAGCTGCATTAACCCTGTGCCACCACCTGGACCCAATTTTCCTGTTTTGACTGTTGCTCTATCCTGGCCCTTAGACTATTCTCTGGAATATCTCCCAAATATTTTTTGAGTAAATAGCAAAGTAAACCTTATGTTTCTTGAAAAAAAAAGTCCTTTTGAAAATTATTATAAATTAATGTTCCTTTTTTTTATTCTTAGAGAATATGCGCATTCACCATAGAAAGACAGAGAGGGAGAGGGAGAAAAGATACCTTAGTGGGGTGTAGTATTGCCATATTCCCTTCTTCTCCATTTCTCCATCATATTGGAATCTTTGAGAATGCATGTGCATATGCCTGTTGTGTTTTTCAAGCCACCAGGGCTGGGATTAGAACCATGGTCAGTCATGTGAAATCTGGCTCCCTTAACCACTAGGCCACAGGCTGGCTCAATTAATGTTCTTTTAAGCAGGAGAATACTTTCTTCCAATGAAAGTAATTGTCGAAAACCATTATTTAGGGCCAGCCAGTGTTGTGATGGTAAGGTGGCTGGATTCCACGTGGTTGACTACATGATTTAAGTCCCAGACCTGGTGGCCTTAAAAAACACATGAGGCATGTGTGTGTATATGACCAAAATCCCAAAAGGAGGGAGAAATAAAGGATAAGGAACTGCAGCATAATCATCCACCATGGGGATCGTGGGGAGTGCTTTCTCATCACACCCCCAACCCCCAACCCCCCGGCCCAGCCCCATCTCTTTCTGGTGAGTGCATATACTGCCTGGCAGAAAACACAACCAAACAAAAACTAAACCCAGTATTTAAAACAGATAAAACCCAGCTGCCCTGAAAGGGAGGCATTCGTGGTTTCTGAGTGGAGAGGTGGCCCAGAAAGGACATTTTGCAAAACTTCACTTCCAATGGAGTAGTGGGAGATCCTGGTTCTGAGCCACTGCTGCTTTTTTCCAGTGCTAACTTTACTCACCATTTCATCTGGGTTAGTGGGTAAGAAATGAATTCCAGAGTCAGAGGCAAGAGCCAGGAGAGCTTCAGGTGACAGAATATCTTATCCCTAATCACTGGACCAAGTGTGGACTAGGACCTTCCTTGGTTTGAAGTACTCTTGACTGAAAGTCAACATTGTCATAGTGGTCCCTGAAGTTCATCCTCCTGCTAGATGAATATTTTGTTGTCAACCGTGCAGGCAGGAGGAAGTCTGTGTCAATTTTCTAACCTTTCTTCCTTGACAGGTATTTTTACTTCATTGCATGGCAGTCGTATTACTTCATGTCAGTGACTCACAATTAATTAAGGCTCAATAAATTTATCTGGGGCTGGCTCTGGAGCACAGTAGTAATGCACTTCTTGGGAAATGCCAGATCCTACCTGGTGACATGCTTCAAATCCCTGGCCTGGTCAGCCTGAAGCACATCAGACATGGATTGAATGACTGGGCTCCAATGGGCTAGGGGACTAGAGTGGGGAGGGAGTTTGCAGCATGTCCAGATCCTGTGGAGGATGTTCCTCTCCCTATGAACACGCTTTCTCCTTTTCACTCTCACATGCACATATAGGTGTGTGTGTGTGTGTGTGTGTGTGTGTGTATTATATATGTGTGTGTGTGTGTATATATTTAAATCTGGAATGTAGTGACAAATTGAACCACACAAAGAGAAAAAACCTGGAAAAATTGTGTCTTCCTACTCTTCTCAAAAGACAACATGGGATAGCAGTTACATTGTGAGCTCCTGGGTCAGAAGCATGGGCTAGAAACTCTTCTAGTGGGTTAGAATCCTCCACTGGTGATTTTGGGCATGTTATTCAATCTTTTTTGTGCTTCTGTTTCCTTGTCTATAAAATGGGCATGAACAGTGCCCATGTTATGGGATTATGTGAGCATTAAAATAGTACACATAACGAAATTAGAAAAAGGCCTGTTATCTGTGACTGAAAGATAAATGTCAGTTGCTATTACTATCATGTGCTGTGTTATAGGCACTCACACTTTTCTTCTCACTATCTTTTTTTTAGAGAGATTTTTGCAATATGGCGTTTGTGCTCACCAGAGAGATAGAGAGAGAGGAAGTGGAAATCATGCCCTCCTCGCTGGGAGGATGGCCACACTACAATCCATTTTCCTCCATTCTCCTCTAAGGATTTTGGGCATGTACACACATGCATCCAGTGTGAGTTTCAAGCCTCTGGTCCAGGACACAAACTAGGGTCGGCCACGTGGAAGTCCAGTTCCCTAGTAACTACTCCACCTCTGGCCCCTTCTCATTATCTTTATTGCTGATGTGCAAACCGACGATAGCAACTCTGGGAATGGACTCATATGCAGTCAGAATGTTTCTTCATAGTGACTAACTTTAAGAACTAGTTTCTTAGAACACATTTTGCTTAATACCAAAGGTCCCCAAACATATTTTCCCATGCTGGCGCCTGGAGGGAGATGAGTTGCTGGAGCACTAGGTTGGAGTGGATTACAGCCTTTGTGTTTGGAGAGCCAGTGCATACACACAACTATTTCAGAGTGGAGCAATTCTGTTGAGTGATTCTGTTGCTGAAGCCCTCTAAGCCTCCTGAATGAAAGATGTTGCCATAGAACTGAATCATGGCTGTTTCACACACATCAGGCTTTTAGTCAGCTCCTCCAAGAGGAGATTAGGTTTACCTTCCTGCACACTTGGACTTTCCCTGAGCAGTTTTTACAAAGGCAGACAACAACATTAGAACTTTCCAGTCTTTAGAAACAGGACTGTCTTAAGGATATATTGCACCCTGTTGTCAGAATCCCTCCTTTTTCACACTTTATTTCCTTAGACTCTCA